TGGGGGACAGTAATTCCTAGATATGTAACAGCCAAATGGTCCTCAGTGTCGTGATTCGACATTAATAGGTATCAGGCCGTATTCATTTGCTCCAGCTCCCAGCGTGTACCATCAGAGGTGATTTCCCCCTATCCTTCTCTCTGCTGGTGGTTAGGGAATTGGGAACCCCCAAACACCAATGAACCACAGACACGACACTCCAGTTGTGGGCTGCACAGTCTTTCAACACGGTGCAGGCCCTAGCAGCTTCAAAGAATTTCACCAAGTTCCCGAGGTATGACCTTCCCTTTCAGAAAACCACGCGTGGGCCAGGCTGGCCTTAATCAAGCTGTATTTTTTTTTTTGAGGCACCCCATTAGGCGATCTCCTGCAGCAGCTTTTAATACTCTCCCCGCAAGTAAACGAAGTAGCCTGTAATTTCCTGGGGTGTCCCTCAGCCCTATGAAGTAATGGCATTAGGTTGGCGACCTTCCAATTCTTCCAGCAATTTTTTTTTGGGGGGGGGTTGTTTTGTTTCAAAAAGCAGGGTTGGAAAGGCCAGAGAAGGCCTCCTCTCTCTCCTTCCCTTCCTTCCTTCTGTGACATCTTGCTCTCCTTATTCCCAGGGCACCTGCCATTTTAATAATGCCAAACCCCTTAAATACTTTCACATAGTATACATTTCTACCCGCGGCATGAACTTTCCATTTTTCATTTTGACAGGGGGCCACCCTTAAAAGGGCTTCCGATTTGATTGGATCGACAGCTCATTTGAGACACTGTGCACAAACGAGGGAGGTGGGAAGGGGTGGTAGGCTAGATGGCATGGGAGTCTTCTCCCATGTAGTGTGTCTTCTGCCTAATTACGCATGGGAGGAGCTGGTCGGGAACGTCTCCACACCCAGGAACCGGGAACCAAAGTATGGCGTGAGCACTGGTACTCGGAGCCTCATGCTCTGAGCCAGCGCCAGCCCTGTCTCTGCTGGTTATTTTGGAGATAGCAGTCTCATGGACTTCTCTGATGGGAATAGAAACAGGGAATGGAACCGAAGAACTTTCCATATGCTGTAAAACCACCCACATCCCACTGGTTAGTGTTGTCTTCCTTCTTTACCAAAATCACTGGGACGAGTGGGAAATTTCCACACCCACCTTAAAATGTGGACCTTCTGTGTTTGACTCCATCCCATGTGGGAGGAGGTTTGGAGCCTGTCAGTGCTTCCCTTTCCGATGATGGTGACAGTGCTCCATATGGGTCAGGAAGCCCACAGAGGGAAGTGTCTGAACAGATTCAGCAAGTAAGTTTAAGCTCAGCTATGACTCTAAAACATGTACATTTCCCCCATGTTTAGGTGTGTGTGTGTGTGTGTATACGAGGGCTTGAACTCAGGGCCTGGCTGATCATACTCAGCTTTTCCACTCAAGGCTGATGCTCTACCACTTGAGCCACATCTCTGCTTCTGGCTGTTTGATGCATAACTAGAGCAAGAGTCTCACAGACTTTTCTGTTCTGTGATCCTCAGAGCTCAGCTTCCTGAGCAGCAAGGATTACAGGCGTGAGCCACCAGTGCCTGGCCTGGGAGGCTGTTTTTACAAATCAGAATCATCAAGTCCTCCCTGCAAACGCCATCTTCCCCTCTGGCCTGAGTCCCTCCCCTCCCTCTGCCCACACTCCGGCAAGTGATCTCATCTTCTTTTCCATCTTGTATACCTCTCACTTGTCCTTCAGAGTCTCCACTGACTATTTCCTGTTATTGAATCATTCATTCATTCATTCATTCACTCATTCAAGCAACATTTATGGAAGGGCTACTGTGCACTGGGTTTATGGACGGATACTTTGCCCTTTTTGGGGGTGTGCCTCAGGGTTATGTGGGCTCCCCCTGCCCCGCATAGGGTGCTTGCATGAGGACTTGCTTATATGTGGGATCTGGTCAGTGTATAATCAGGTAATATTCACATATCCATTTCCAAACTGACGTGTGGCCCCATCGGGGCTGCATATATGATGACACTTGCCCGCAGTGCACAGAACCACCCATCGCCCATACTGGGGATGAGGACTGGGAAGCAGCTGCACACATGTCCACCCCATCTGAGTTCTTGGAGCTGCTCCAGTCAAGCAGGCCAAGGGGTCCAAAAGGAAAAGCTGGATGAACAGGCAAATGAGCCGTGGCCCTCTCTCTGCGGGGCGACATGAGCACGCAGCATAGCTGCTTTTCAAAGTACTCTGGTTTCTAAAGAAAGAGTATCTCACAGAGACAGTCTCACGGCCAGATGGAATTCTTGGGTTTCAGGGGGGGAAATTATACAATTTGAAATGAGGCGGTGTGTACACAACACCAAACCATCCAAACCAAACCCTGAGTGCATTGCTTGGGAATGCAGCCCTACCCCGGACATCTAGGGTTGTCCCTGGGAATATGGGCCGAGGTCCTGGCACTCTGGTACTTGTCAGGGGTGGAGTGCACTGCCATGAAGTCTCAGCTTTGTTGGATTCCTGTAATCAACCAAAGGCCAGGAGAACAGGAGATTGGGAAGCACAGTGGTGCTTCATTGTGTTTAAAGTCAGAACGACGAGGCCCTGATTGAAAGCCCACAAGAGTGTCCTGGAGCCGGCCATTGTGGCTCACTCCTGTAATCCTGCTATTCAGGAGGATGCAATCTGAGGAGCGTGGCTCAAAGCTGGCTGGGATAGGAAAGCCCAGGGGACTCTTATTTTCAACTAACCAGCAAAAATCTTGAAGTGGAGCTGTGGCTCAAGTGGTAGAGTGCCAACCTTGAATGAAAAAAACTAAGGGACAAAGCCTGGGTTCAAGTCCCAGTACAGGCACACACACACACACACACACACACACACACACACACACACAGCCTGCATTTGCTATCTGTTCCCATTCCTTTGTGGCAGTGATGATGTTAATGAACGCCTGCATTAGCTACTCCACCCTGCCTTCCCCTAGCTTCTGGAACCATTCAGAAAGGGTGTGCGGGAGGGTGTGGGACGCTTGCTGCCCAAACGTTCCTCTGGAAGAATGTGGGGGCTCCAGATGTGGGGGGACCTCCCCAGGCGAGGGCGGGCCAGGCGGGCCAAGTCGCAGCGCTCCCTGGGCAGGGAGGGCGGTCCACCCATGCGGGGCTGTCGCGGGGCGCTAGCCCACATCAAGTCGGGATGCCTGCCCGGATTAAACGAGGCCTGTTATCATCTGATTCTCGCCGGGCATCTTTGAAGAAGAAAGCCTCCTCTGGGGGAGCTAATTGGTCCCAGGCCCGAGACTTGGACCCGGGATGGCTATGACCACTTCAGAAGGAAAAATTCCGATCATTTGGAGGCAGGTATCACATCATATTTCAACTTGAGCGTGCACATTCCAAATAGCCCAACATGGGATAGGACAGCACAAAGGGAGTGAGAACAGGGCAGCAGAGGTAATCCCATGAAACCCAGAGGGCTGGAGGCCGTGGCTACACCCGGGGAGCCTGGTTCAGGTAGTACTGTGCCCAAGCAGGGCCCAAGAGATCATGACAGAACATTCCAGACCGGAGACACGTGACATGGACATCAATGGACTGAAGTAGAAACAAATTTGTCTTAAGGCTGGTCACTGGTGGTTCCTCACACTTGTAATACTCATTCCTGGGGGTGGGAGGGAAGGGGAGCCTGGCATCTGAAGATCACAGTTCAAAGCCAGCCCAGGCAGGAAAGTCTGTGAGATTCTTATCTCCAATTAACCAGCAAAAATCCAGAGTGGAGGTAAGGCTCAAGTGATAAGAGTGCCAACTAAGCAAGAGCAAAAGGCCCCGAGTTCAAGCTTGGGTACACACACACACACACACACACACACACACACACACACACACACACACACACACACACACACACACACACACACACACACACACACACACACACACACACCAGGATCTGATGTAGGGTTTCTGTCGTTCCTTGCAGGCCTAGGGTGGGCTGGGGAATCCTCTTGCACTGAGCGCTGGTTCTGAACCCTTTGCATACACTTGCTATAAGCAGCGAGTGGAGCTGGGACAGGCCCTATCCTCAGTCTGAAGAACACTGCCTCCCCCTGGATTGTAAGGTGCCAAGTCCACGAGCTGACGGACAATTGTTCTCGCTGTGGTTCTGTCTTGTCAGAGAACTTGTGTATTGTTCATTAAACCAATGCTTTGTACAACTCAAATATCAATCCCTGATTGAAAGGGACCCTCACAAGCTGGTGCCGGTGGCTCATGCCTGTGATCCTAGGTACTCAGGAGACTGAGATCTGGGGACTGTGGTTTGAAGCCCGCCTGGACAGGAAAGCCCATGAGACCCTTGACTACCAAAAAAGCAAGAAGTGGAGCTGTGGTTCAAGTGAGATAACACTAGTATTGAACAAAATAAAGCACAGGGACAGAGCCCAGGCTAAGTTCAAGCTCCAGAACACACACACACACACACACACACACACACACACACACACACACACACACACACACACACACACACACACATGGGACCATCACACAGCACGCACAGTAGTTTTCATGGAAAAGTACAATCAAACAGTTTGTATATAAGTTTCTGATCTATAATTTTAAGTGGCTGTAGTTATATTTAAATAATAAACAACTAAATAATAAATAAGTAAATATTACTATAGTTAAATTTATAATAAGAATCAATACCAATATTAAATTACTAAATAATTAATCATGAGTTAACTGCTAATCAAATGACAAATAGAGACAATTTTATTCCTAAAGGTGGATTTTGTTTGTGTGGCAAAACTGTGCGTGCATGTGCGTGTGCATGTGTGTATGTGTGCATGTGTGTATGTGTGCATGTGTGTATGTATGTATGTGTGTGTGCGTGTGTGTGTGTGTGTGTGTGTGTGTGTTCACCATCAGGAACAAACATCTTCATTGAGGATGAGAAATTTACTTTCAACCCAAGAATGAAGTTGAAAAATAAGATACTGATCACTTGGTTGTCATTTTTCTAGAAACCTCTGTGGCACACCTACCTCGTAGAATAATGGAAGGCCAATGCTTACTTTCTTCTTCCCCTTTTTGGCTGGGACATTTCCAATAAGTGCATTTATTTCGTTGATCTGTAAGAGGAGTAAATAGACTCATTGGAAAGAGGCTGACCTGCAGGAAGCAGACACACACAAAACTCATTTCCAGGACCTGGGCCTCCAGGAAGCAGCAGGCAGCTGCCTGCCGGGAGTGGTGCAGCAGGCTCCGGGTGGCTCTAGCTGGGACACAGCTGCCTCTGCCATGTCCTGCACCTTCTGGCAGGCTCTCTGAGCCCAGTGTTTTATGCTTCTTTAATCTTTCACCAGATAACCTCACAGAGCTCAGCAAGCCTGACGTCAGCACTGTGACAAGCGAAGGGGTGGTGAAGGGATCACATCCTAATGGCAGCGACGCCTCCCGACTAGACAACTGAACTTAGTCTGTGTGTATGTAGTGTGTATGTGTCTGTTTCGGTGTGTGTGTCTGTGTTTCAGTGTGTGAGTCTGAGTTTCAGTGTGTATGTGTGTGTATGTGTGTGTGAGTCTGTTGCAGTGTGTGCGTATGTGTGTGTGTGTGTGCGTGTGCTTGTGCATAGCCACTCTGGGAGCTTGAACTCAGGGACTGAGCTTTTTCACTCAAGGCTGGCTCTCTACCACTTGAGCCACAGCTCCACTTCCAGCCTTTTGCTGGTTCATTGGAGATCAGAGTCTCATGGACTTTCCTGCCCGGGCTGGCTTTGAACCGGGACCCTCAGATCTCAGCCTCCTCAGTGACCAGGATTATAGGCATCAGCACCAGTTGCTGTCTCTAGCTATGTATTTGATTTGAAGGACTGCACTGAATTTTATGAAACACCCAGTATTTGGACTGAAATCTCTGGCCAGGGCACAGAGGCAGGGAGGGGCAGCTGGAGGATTGGGGGGAGGGGGTGTCCAGGCACCTTTTGGAGCATGCGCAGGGCAGGAAGGTGGGGCTAGGAGGCGGGGGGGGGGGGTGGTCAGGCACCTTCTGGGACATGCACAGAGGCAGGGAGGTGGGGCTGGGAGGGGTATCAGGCACCTTCTGGCGCATGCACAGAGGCGAGGCACGGCAGGTACCTGCTGGAGGATGTCCGGCCAGGTCACCACACTGAAGAGTCTCCTCTGGGGGATCTGAACCACCGCGGTGAGGGCCTCGATGAGGAGAAGCTCATCTTCAATCTGGTTTCCAACCACGAAGGCCACCGAGCATTTCCAGTCGCTCTGTGACGGAAGCCAGCCGCATTAGCCAGTGTTCTGGGGAGGGCGCAGGGGCGGGAGGCTCCATGCTGACCCCCAAGGTCCGTGCTGACCTCCGAGGGCCGGGCTGACCCCCGAGGACCAGGCTTACCTCTGAGGGCCACGCTGACCTCTGAGGGCTGCGCTGACCCCCGAGGGCCGTGCTGACCTCGAGGGCCAGGCTGACTCCCCCAGGGCTGGGCTAACCTTTGAGGGCCAGGCTAACCCCCAAGGGCCACGCTGACCCCCCAGGGCCGGGCTGACCCCCCCCAGGGCCAGGCTGACCCCTGAGGGCTGCGCTGACTTCCGAGGGCTGCTCTGAACTCCAAGGGCTGGGCTAAACTCCGAGGGCCAGGCTGACCTCCAAGGGCCGGGCTGACCTCCGAGGGCTGCGCTGACCTTGCAGTGCTGGCTGGGGGTGGCGTTGTGCCCGATTTCAGGCCCGAGCATCAAGCTCTTGAGGAAGGCATGGTTTATGTTAGTGACTTGGAACGGGTGTGTAAGGTCTGTGTCACAAATACACATGAGAAGTTGTTCTCAGAAGCAAAAATCCTGCTGTCACCCAGAGACTCTGAAGCAGAAGGCGGAGGGTCAGAGTTCAAATCCAGGGCCTCCAGGAAGCCCAGGAGGGGCCCATCTCCTATTAACTAGCCCTAAACTGGAGGTGAGTCTGTGGCACAAGCAGCAGAGTACCAGCCCTGAGCAAAAAAGCCAAGAGAGCATGAGACCCTGGGTTGAAGGTCAGTACACCACCACCACCACCACAACAAGCCCAGTACACCACCACCACCACCACAAGGTCCAGACACCACCACCACCACCACCACAAGGCCCAGTATACCACCACCACCACCACCATCACTACAACAAGGTCCAGTACACCACCATCACTACCACCACCACCAACACCAGGTCCATTACACCATCACCACTGCAACAACAAGGTCCAGTACATCACCACACCACCAAAATAAGGTCCAGTACCACCACCATTACCACTACCACCACCACCACAAGGTCCATTACACCATCACTGCTGCAACAAAAAAGTCCAGTATATCACCACCACCACCACCACCACCATCACTACAACAAGGTCCAGTACACCACCATCACTACCACCACCACCAACACCAGGTCCATTACACCATCACCACTGCAACAACAAGGTCCAGTACATCACCACACCACCAAAATAAGGTCCAGTACCACCACCATTACCACTACCACCACCACCACAAGGTCCATTACACCATCACTGCTGCAACAAAAAAGTCCAGTATATCACCACTACCACCACCACCACAAGTCCATTACACCACCACCACTGCAACAACAAGGTCCAGTACTACCACCATCACCACTACCACTACCACCACAAGGTCCAGTACACCACCACCTTCACCATCATTGCAACAATAAGGTCCAGTACACCACCACCATCACCACAACCACAACAAAGACAACAAAGGCAGGGGGGCTTAGCTTCGTTCCCTGGCACATTCTGAGACTGAATGATGCTAAGAGTATAGCGAGAATCCAAGAAATAATTGTTGACTGTTGTTGATATTAGATTGTAAGGACTGGAGTACATCTTTCCTCTTAATACAGCACAGGGGTATCACCACTAAGAAAAGAAAATGAAAATCAAAGTTATACTTGGATGTGAAATTTGCACCCAATAATTTAAAGAAGTAAATGACTCAAGACAGTGAACAATGCAAGGGTGACACTGATTGACACACATCCTACCCACGACTTCCAGAACTGAAATCCCTTTGTATAATTACTTAATTAAAAACAATGTCAAAGACAATGACCTTGTTTAGTAATTTCTTCCTCTCTGTTTGTGATAGTGATCCTTTCTGCTGGGGAAGAAGCAATTCCCTTAGGGCAGAGCAAGGAATTAGCTGCTTGGGCTTTTTTTTTCTTTTGTGGTAGCATTGGGACTTGAACTCAGAGCCTTGCTCTATTGCTTGGCTTTTTTGCTCAAGGCTGGTCCTGGCTGCAGGAAGGCAATACCTTGCAATTCCTGGCAGTCACACTTTCCAACACTGAAGATTCTGATGTTCTTCTCTGCCTCTCCGTCTACTCCTTGCTGCAAATATTGCTGTCTCTGCAAATACGTGGAAGTTATGTGGACAAGAAGAGGCCGCCTCTTAGTGCTTTGGGTACTGGGGTACATCTCCTACCTGCCTTCTAGTATCTGCTGTCAGAGGCAGACAGGAAGGAAGGAGGAAGGACCTGAGCATTGTGTCTGCCACATGCCAAGCAGATGGTATCTGAATGGATCCCTACCAAGGCCAGGTGACAGGGGCCCTAATGCTTTCTTTATAGGTGTGAAGAACGGGTCCAGGGACATTCGACACCCATGAGGTTCGTGGTCATCTGGGATAGAAATCCATAGCCCTGATAGACAAGGCTTACATAAATCATCATTTCAGACCTTCTTGAGGGCAAGTCTCTGGGATTTGAATATCAACGTTAACCTACCCTAGATTACTAGTGAAGATTTATGTTGCATAATATATTGCATAATAAAATGCTTAGAGGATTGAAAACTAGATTGGGTACTAAATCATTAGCACATCATATAACCACCTTTTTTATAAAAAAACAACAACAACAACAGTATCTTTATAAAGGATCAGAGGTTAAAGGAATCTCTCAGGAGTGGTCCTGCGATCTGAGGCACTGTACTGAAGTTTGTGGGGTCCCAGAGTGTCCCCCTGAGCTACAGCAGGGCACATGGGTGCAGAGTGCTCTGTGAGACCCCCTAGAAGGGGTCTGAAGAGGCCAGCTGGGGCCGGTTCCTGTCGACGCCGTCTTATCCGCAAAACACTTGCTCCAGAAATTGGACCGACTTTTGCAAAGCCCGAGAAGGGTTTTGTGGGAGTTTTGGCTTTCGTGTCTGATGGGAACACAGGACCCGAACCCCAGCAGCAGGCAAAGCAGAGGCCACTCAGGGCCCAGCTGGGTGTGACAGGTGCACTTGCGGCCCTGGGCAGCAGGGGGCGCGAGATGCTAGGAAATGCCAGCTCCCCAGCCACCAGGAGCAGGGCAGGCAGCCCCCCTGTCCAGGCGTTCCCAATCTTCCTCTTACTACTCAGGGAAACGTGTAGATTCCAGATTGTCACCAGTAGATGGACAGTAACCCGCAGCCATAACCATGCCTCTGCATGCTCCACTGTGCAGCTACGTAGAGCCTGCAAGTTTCAGTTCATAGAGGAGGAAGAGAAACCAAATTCGAACACAAATGGCTAGCCATTGGAGGGGAGGGGCGGGGAGCAGGAGAGGCGCACAACCTTGTGAAGTGCCACCTGTGAGCCCAGGCCACACCCATCTGTGATCCAGAGCTTCCCTGTGATGAGGGTAAGGCCTAGAGAAAGGAAACACAAATCATTGAGGAAAAACCACCTTGGAGCTGGGCACTGGTAGCTCACACCTGTAATCCTTGCTACTCAGAAGGCTGTGATCTAGAGGATCAAGGTTCCAGCCAGGGCAGAAAAGTTCTCGAGACTCTATGGCCAATTAACTAGGAAAAAGCTGGGCTGAAGCTACAGCTCAAGTGGTAGAGCACGAAATGAGCAAGCATGAGACCCTGAGTTCAAGGAAGAAACCAAAAAGAAAGAAAAGAAAAGACAGTGTGCGCTGGCTGTGTTCCGTGGTGAAGGGGGAGGTTTGGGTCTGGCTGGCCTCGCTCTCAATTACTCGGAGGCACGCATTACCCATGATTACTGCCGAACCCTGCCTAGCCATTATTGATCAAGTCATCCAGGGGATGGAATGAAGTCATGTATGGACACAATCCATTACCTTTTATTTACTTTGTCAGTCTCACCTAATTTGAAGCCTAGCAGGAGGGCGTCTTAACCCAAACACTTACATACTAGTCTCCTAGAGCAAGAAAGCATTCCTGCACACGCAGAGAGCCTGACTGTCTCCACAAGCCTCCTGTCCCAGGGAGACACACAAAGGGGAAATTTAAACCAATTTTTCTTCCATGCATTAAAATTTCCCCCATTTTGACTTCGGCATTCCACCTTCTAACAGGATCGCAGGACACTGAAAAAAACAAAAACAAAAAAACATATGTAGTTTTTGTCCAAGGAAGATGCAGATAACGGGGAAAGGCCACGGATGGCACCCATGTTCTCTTCTTCACCTTTGGAGGCAGGCCAGTGCCTGAGAGGATGCTTCCAGAACCTTCTGCAGGGATGAGATTGCAGCCAGCAGCACTTTGATTGGTGGAGGCCCCAACAGTGTCACATAGCCTCACGGGGCACTTGAAAGCCTGGTTTTATAATGGGCGGTTGAACACGGTACTGATGGGCAAACTTGGACTCTCTGACTGCTGGAAATGGAAATGTGCTAGGGAGATCCACAGACACTGGGGCATGTGACACACTTGCTTAGACCGGGTTTTCCAGTCTCTGTCAGCAAGGGAGTGTCAGTATGGACTTTGGGCTAGCTGAAGAAAAATTTTCATTAGACCAAACTGACAACCATGTATTATTATTTGTGTGTGTGTGTGTGTGTGTGTGTGTGTGTGTGTGTGTGTGTGTGTGTGTGTGTGTGTGTCTGTGTGAGATCCTGGAGCTTGAACTCAGAGTCTGGGTGCTATCTTTGCGCTTTTGTACTCAGGGTTGGTATTCTACCACTTTGAGCCATCAGTTCCACTTCTGGTTTTCTGGTGGTTCATTGTTGACAAAGAGAGTCTCCCATACTTTCCTATCCCAGCTGGCTTCAAACCAACCTCAGCCTCAGATCTCAGCCTCCTGAGTAGCTGGGATTACAGGGTGAGCCACATGTGTTGGACTTCTATAATTGTTTCCCTCTCTGTTGCTGCCTCCACCCTGTTCTGTGGCAAATCAATGGCTGTCTGCTTTAAAAAATATGTTTTTTGTAACCCAGCTTTATGCAGTCTTACAAAATGGATCCTATGAAACCTCTTTGAGTCGAGTGAGCAGTGCCGGCTGCAGGTT